GCAATAGCCTTTTTTATGAAATAAATATTTTCAAAAGCTCTACTCCTGGTGATGGAAGACTGTTTGTTTTTTTTACTTCGCTCCAGCTGGTCCAGTTTCCTCTTGCAGGTTTATTAAAACACATTTTTGAAAAGATGAAGATATGAAGATTTGTGAAACATGTATTAAACTCTGCAAGTCATTTATGATGCGCCCTGTTCATTTGCATTACAAGTGTATATGAATTAAGTGTGTAAAATACAGAGTGTGATACATTAACATAACAATGCTGCCAAGATATCACCTTAATGTTTTTGTATTTTCAATTGATCAGCCAATCATCTTTGACTGAAAGTCCAAAACTGATCTGAATTAAGTGGATATTAAGTGGCTGTACAGTATAGCCTAGCATAACCTAGCCTAGCCTAGCCTAGCCTAGCATAGCAAAATTTAAGCTGAGAAATCCAAATAACTTTTATATAAACTCTGTTAAAGTCGTCTGAGGTCCACCTGCGTGGTGCAGGGTGACTTTTAAAATGATTTTAAAAGTCAGATTTTCATAATTCAAAAATGAAAACTATTATAATCATTAAATCAACATTTTTCACATCGAATACAACACTTATGCTACAATTCAAAAACAATCAAATATTTTTGAAGGACATTCCAAAAACCTGTGGATAGCGCTGGACCCAAAGTTTGTTACCGGTTTTCATGATTTATGTCTCCTTCGTCAGGACCGTCCGACATCTTGACTTTATTTTTACACCTCTACCTTGAATATGTTCTCCAAACATTATAGCAGTCTCTGGTTGGGGCTAAGCAAATTTTCAGCAGCACAAACAATGTCTGCATAGTGCAGTAAAATAAAAAAAAAAAAATTATAAACATACCCAGTAGCAGGTGTGTAAAGTCTGCGGTACAGGCTTGTATATGCAACACGCATTGCAAGAAAAAAAGAGAAAACATAAAAACGTAATTGGTGGCAGTCTGCTCAGAGATTAAATGTTGTATTATAAAGTGCAAGATGTGTAGAAAGGTGAAGGTGAAACGTTTTATATCTACAAATCTTCCATCACTGAAGTGCAAAGCAGATACGCAGCAGTGTTAAGAAAACAGACAAGTTTGAATTAACCATACCTTCCTGAATACCCCATCCATCAAACTGAAAGTTAATCTATATCATTTTTATATAATAACATACATTATCTATTTCGTTTGCACATTTGGTGTGAGAGTTTAGGGTTCTATTTTATGTGTACATTTTGATTGAGGACACAGTCTTGTTTGAAAGCTTTGTGTGATTTATATTCATCCATCGAAAGATCAGAAAGTTATCTAAAGGAGATGACAGATGGATCCAATTCCAGCTGGTGAGGGGAAAATACAGTGTTGTGTTCGTTACTCTCTGACCTCTCAAATCAGTTCACTCAGGTTTTGAGATTGGAGTCAAACTTTGTTTCACGCAGTACTTTGATATGAGTTTTGTCTCAACCGCTTGTGCATGGATTACAGGGGCTTATGCACGGATTACAGTGGCACAACCAAAAAGTGAAACTAAAAAACAAGGCAAGATGGATTTTACATAACAGCCGCTCTCAAAAAGCTTGCCTTTGTGATTATTGCTTTTTGGTTTTACACGCATTCATCTTATTATTCATCTAAGTTATATAATTTAAAGTTCACACGCAGCATTACCCATTCCAAGCATGCATTTTCATTTGTAGCCTACTTTAAAAAAAAATGTTTTCACTAATTGTAGTGGTGTAAGTAGCTGCTCTCTGTAATGGTGCTGTGTCAGGAACATTGCTGAATTCCCAGAAGTAATTTGCTGTAAATTTACAGAGCTGATTAGCTCAGTTACTGGTTCTGCTCAGTGTTTCCTTTCCTCTGGTCCTCTGATGAATGGCCCAGGTTTGCATTCATTGACGAAGCAGTTTCACTTTGAAAAATGATCTACTCTCTACTAACTTCTAAAATGGTTTTCATCTGAAACCTAAACTGTGCAAAGATGGTTAGCGGACTTGAAACTGGCAGTGTTGAAATGGAAAAGCTTTGAGTGAACTGCTGTGTGTCCCTTCACTGATTACATTTAAGATGGAAAATAGCTGCCAGCTGCTGCTAATTACATCACTTTATTAAGTGATCATCATCTCTGTGACACATTTTAAAACCAGGAATTTTGCCAGTTTTCTGATCTGCATAATCTGACGGAGAGTTGATACAACATCAAGGTGGAAATACGTCAACAATGATCTCAGAGAAGCAAATGATATGCAATCTGGAAAAAAGTATAATCTCATTTCCAAACTATTTGAAGTCCATCAATCTTCATTAATATGAGTTTTTTTTTACAAATGCAAAAAAATGTAAGACAGTGCCAATCTTAAATAAAAACCATCAGGAGTTGAAATGAGTAGGATTTTATCTTTTATTCTTTAATGAAATGAGACAAAGATAGATAAGTTTAACCATAATGAACAACATGTTTTTGATTTGAGTCCATCTGTCAGCAGGATAAAGCAATCCTAAACTGGGTCGTCAACAGGACAATGATCTCAAACAGAGCGGAAAATCTAGAACAGAGCAGAGAGGAAGGGGTTCCAGTGGCCCAGTCAAAGTCCAGACTAGGCTGGAAGGTTGTAGTAGAACCAAAGGAGATAATTAACTACCTGCAAATCTTAATGAACTGAAGCAACATGGTGAAGTTTCTGTTTCAACACACCTAAATGAAATGATTCTGTCATTAGCAGGTCTCTGTTGGACTGTAACTAAATGCTCAGGAGGTAATTCAGACATTTAATTCCACCCTCCATTGTGGATAAATCAAAATGATTTTGCAAGAAGCATCAGGGAACTTCAATGCTCTTTCTCAGTCCTCATGCATCAGAATATAATTTCTATGATCTTTCGTATAAAGCCTTTCAACGTAGGCTGCAAAGTGATAATTCTGGCCCTTTAAATGGCTCATCAGGTCATTGCAAAGTGCTGTAATTTGTCAGCTGGGTCACTTCCAGGTGAAAGAATCAGCCTTTTAAAGCCGTGCTGAGCTGCAAATATACAGTAACTGCTGGAGCCAAAGTCAGTGTAGAAATGAACATTTATAAAATCTAATACTAATGTTTTACATGCAAACCAGAACGTTTGACACGATGTTAACAGGAGCCAAGTCTTTAATGTGTTTTTTGAATTAAACTATGTATCTAGGCCCACTTCATGTTAAATAATTCTGCTAAATTCCCCCAACTCTTCCCCCTCCATAATTACTCTGATTTGCAGCCCAGATTTTACTACAGTGTTTACATGCCAGTGCAAAAAGTCCAGAAAACATTTTACATAAACTGAATATTATATGTAGCCTTATTTTTGTTTATTTATTTAGCATAAAAGGTTCTCAAGTGGAGACTGCATGGCTGCAAACTGAAACGTGAAGATGAATGTTCACCAGATTGTGAATATTATATTTGAGTGGTAAGTTTGTAAAGTTTGGAGAAATGTAATACTTCAGAGATTTCTCTTTTTTTTTCTAAAAATAAAAAGAAATAAAGAAATACAAATAACTGTAAAACATTGTCAAAGTTTTATCTTAATTTGTTAAACAGCTGGTTATGTCTGGAATAAAGGAGTCAGGAGATGGACTTATTTGAAACAGATTTACACATATTTCCACCAAAACTGGAAACAACAATGTGATTCTTACAAAAATCACATTTTAGATTACAAAAGCAAGCCCACAAACATTGTTATGTTATTCATTAATAAATTACATATTTAAAAAAAATACCTTGGCAAGACAAAACAAGAGAATAGTTTAAATAAGGTCAAATGTATTAAAATTCAATGATCTTACCTTTATTTCCATATGAAGTCCTTGCACCTGTCCACAAATAAGTGCATCCTTGTTTGCCTTCATTTTTAAAAGTCTGGCTGCTTCAGTGAGTGGAGATTATGGCCAGGAGAGTGGCTGTGATCGGATTCCAACTCAATGTTTTCAGACTTTTCAGTAGAAGAAGAACCATATTGTTCGCCATTCTTGGTATTTTATTTATCGTAATCAAATGTAGTCACCAGCTATGAAGGTTTTTATTTAAATGTCCACATATCAAACCTATAAAAAAATGCAAAAATGCAGTCATTGCTGTGTTTGGAAAAACAACAAGTCATGGACTTGCCAGTTTTGTTATTATTTATACATAATTAATCAGCTTTTATGGGTGAATTAAAACAGTGAAAAGTCTGAAAAAGGCTTCATTTCTCATCAGTTTTGCTTCACAAACATCTGTAACGTGTCCTTAAATTATGTCTATGTATTTGTGACAACATTTGACGGCTCCAAAAATTCTGTGTCAGTGATCAAACTGTCTGATACAGTGTCAAACGTGCAAAGAATGACTTTGTGGATAGTTGCATATCTCTGTGGATCTCCCCACAGAGATATGTGGCAGATGCACAATCATATGACCGAGTCACATCACTGTCAGTCCTGCTAATGACTCAGTGCTAAAGTTTTATTTCTGCTTCACAATATTTTTTTTCTTCGTTCCAGCTTTCCATCCGTCTGTTGGCTCTCAGCCGTTAAGTCTTTCTGGCCTCTGAGGGTTTTTCTCTCCGTTTCTGGTTTTATCTTACTGAAGGTAGAGACTGGGAGCACGGGAACGTATGCACCAAGAGCCGTCCTCCACAAGGGAAGCACTTTCCCAGCCAAGTCTTGAGCTCAGTGCCAGTGTTAAAGTTGGGGTGAAGTCATTAACGAGGTCATTTTGCCGTTGACAGCGTGTCCCCGAGGTGAATCATCACTGCTACTTTCTGCAGCGTGATTTTTTTAAAGCCATTGGAGAGACTGTGCTCCATTTCAACGTCTGGGAAGGAACCCAGTCGCAGAGAAACCGTCGTTACCTTGGAGACATATCTAAGTAGACGATATCCGTGAAACTTTGGATCGTTAAGATTCAAAATAGGAAATGGGACACAGACCATCGGCAGCAGTGGTCTGGTAGCTGCAGGTCTGCTAGAACTTCATTTAAATTCAACAAATTATGCAGTTGTCAGTGACAGTTACAGTCCAGTCCCCTCAAATAAACGATCTTTGTGTTTTCTCATTGCAGATAAATTCGACAAGGCGTCTTCCCTCCTTTGCAGCCATGGCTCACTCCGTGTCTGGAGGGACTGTGCTCACCATCCTCCTCATTAGCAGGTAAGGCTGCAAATAGATAAGAGAAATATAACCAGTGGGATGAATCGCCAACAACACTCTATTAAAAGCCAGGGAGCATAATCAAGTCATGTCAGATTGTTATTTGGTACAAGGCCAAAAATTGTGATGCAGAGAGCCGAGGAGGAGGTGGAGGCATTCTCATGTGGTTTCATTTTCCCTTGAACCGTCAGCGCTCAGCACCGACTCCTCATGCATCAGGCAAGAAGACGCTTTGAAATTCCACTGCCACGTTTATAACACTGCTGAGCAGAACTGATGAGGAAGGATCCAGCACTACATGCATCCATCACTGAATACAATTGGGGTTATAATCCCCGCCGAGGTCATAAGGAGAGAGTGATTGGATGTTTTGGTGCACATTTGCCTGCTACTGTGAGAAGCTGCCTCTCCTGTCTGCATTGTACTTTCCAGGCACAGAGTGCAGCTTCCACACCGTCGTCTGGTTCTCACTGGATCTTCCTTGTGTAGCGCTGCCTCTCTGCACAATCAAATGCAGCATTACGGGGCTGCAGCAGGTTTTCTGCTGTACAAGCATGTCATCAAATGTGTGCATGTGAACTCTTCGGAGATGTGATGAATTAATTTTGCATGTGTGTTAGCTGACAAGGAGAAGTAGAGAAACAGAGAAGGATCGTGAGTCTTCGGTCTGGTTCCTGATATCCGAGACCAGATTTTAGGCCATGTCTGGACCGTTCTTTCATTTGGGTCAGGTTCTTCAGTTGTTTGTAACTCTTGCACTTTCCACTTTAGCAGTAGGACAACACTTATAACATTTGACAAGTTTCAGACAAATATCTCTGCAAAAAAACAAAATAATTAGTATTTTTGGTCTAGTTTCTAGTGCATAATAACTTAGTACATCTGAAATTAGTCAAAATGAAGTTACAAGTAACTTAACACAAGAGCTTGATTTAATCTACTAATTCCTTAATATAATTACAAAAGTACTAGTTCCACTGAGATTATTTCACTTACTGGAAAAATGTCATTATCTGTGGGTATAACTGCAGTAAAATTTATGATTAACTTCCTCTTTTCACGCAATTTAACAAGTTTGTTTTGTTAAATGTATTAGGAAGAAATAAAACTAAAAATAATTAATACATTTATTTTTAAGTTCCCTCACTATAAAACACATTTTCTAAATATGGATTTTGTCTCGGAGAAACTGCTCAGTAAGATGCATTAATCAAAAGTAAAGTAAAAAAGTAAACAAATTAGTTATGCACAGTGTTGCGCTGGTGTGAGGAGAAGTTGGTAGAATTTTCATTCCTGCCCCAGTTTTATTTTTAACCAGATGTTTTTTTAAAGGCCAATGCATTAAATAGTTAAATGACAGAAAGCTACAGAGCACAGTAAACCAAAGATGACCATCTTAAATATTATTTAATCTTAAGAACTAACCAAATGAAGAAAAAGCTACAACATGTTAACACTTTCTCAATAGGTAGTTGTGTCTCTACATTCTGCCACAACCAGCTCTTTGAGAATGAGTTTGAGACTTTGGATGAGCTCATCCAGCCAATCAAAGGGCCTCATTCAGCCACATGACTATATGTTGGAATGTAGAAAGTTTTCTTCAATCACTTGTGAAAAATACTGATGTTTGAGCTCAGAGATCAGCCATGCATGATTAGGGAGAATATGAAAACTTCATGCAGACAGACCCTGGAAAATACTGGGATTAAAAAAAAAACAAAAAACAGGACCATCTTGGAGCAAGGCCACAGCACAACCAACTGCACCACCATGCAGCCAGTTATTCATTCATTCAGGGTAATCTCCATTCCCATTGGAGAAGAGTTAGCATTATTTTTGGCTAACCGCAGTATGACCGAGTTTAAAGTTGCAAGTCTTACAAATGCAGAGATGTCAATTCCGCCTCTTCCAGAGAATATTGGCAGAGTGCTTTGGTGCTCAGCTCCGAATCCTTCGATAGTTTACTGTGATCAGCAGAGAGCTCTGCGCTTCGCAAGGAGAATTTAAATGCAGCGCAGCTTGAGGAGAGAAAACAAAAGTGACATTGGAGAAGGGAAGAAGGAAGCCGATACAAACTTTACAGGCTTAAAGCTGCAGCAAAGTAAAGCGTGTATGACCACGGCGTGAAATGTGTGGAGTGGATGTTTTCCTTTAACGCTCAGGATGCAGGATACCACCGATTAAAGGAACGTTTCCAGATGCGTCGCTGTCAGTCAAGTCTCAGATTCTTTCATCTGCTCTTCTTTTCACTGAGACACTCACGATTGTTCTGTCCCAGAGTACAAAGAACAAAATTGAAGAGGACAGGTAAAACATCACATCTCAAGAAGGTAAATAAAGTCTGTCATCCGAGGAAGTTGGACTCGGCTTTGACGCATTAAAACAGGTTAAAAGATTCTTCATTTAATGCAACACAGCGACGGTGGGGGAAACTTCATAACTCATATTGTACAAACAGATCAAAAGAAAGTTAAAAATTCAAAGTTTAAGCAAGAAATTAAAAATTCATGAAGTGAGTCAAATGTATGAGAGGAAAGAGCATCAGAAATGTTCCCTTCAGCAGAAAATCTAATAACTGGCCTACTGGGCCTAAAACAAACAACACAAATCATATGGTTGCTTTTAAAAAGAGGCAAATTTTTGTCCCTGTTGTGACTCCACACGTCCCCTGAAGGAGTGTGCTTATGGAGCAGTATAGTTCATTTGGAGTGCTGTCAGCTTTTTGTTGTTTGTATTGGTTAAATGCTTGCAATCCTTCGTTCTGCATGGTAATATTGAGCCAGATGGAGAGCTACGTGGACCCAGGCTCCAAACCCTCATCTGACGGCTTTTGGAGCTCATTCACTGCCAATTTTGTTGTAATTTGGCACTAAATTAATAAATAAAACAATCAATAACAGTTTTTGTAGACAAATTTATCCAAGCCTGTGTGTCACGTTTGATGTGATAAAACATCATCTGCTGTTCTCATCCAAAATAGCTTGGATATAAAAGAACATTTCCTCCGCATGCTGCATAAAGAGCATATATTAAACTTTAAATGCATTTTCAAAAACATTTCAACTGCTACTAATGCATTCTTTTCATCATCAGGGTTTGAGCCAATCTGTAAGCATAAATAAGTTATAGGATTACCTTAATTTCCCCAGAGTCAGCAAAGGTATTGGTTGCATAGGCGGTTTTAACCCAAATGCAAGAAACGTGTAAAACATACCAGATTTTTTTTTTTTTTTTTTTTTTTGTTGTAGACCAGAGTTTTTCAACCAGCCCCTGAAGGGCTCACTGCCCTCCAATTTTTACTTGTTTCACTGCTTCCATGCATCTAATTTAAATAAATGGGTGATTAACAGCCTTCTGCAGCACTGGAGGCAACACAATCATTTGATTCAGGTGTGATGATGAAGCAGAGAAAAATCTAAAACATAGAGAACTGTGGGTGCAGCTTTAATTCCCTGCTGCAGACTTCTAGTTTTAGTGTGCATGGTGTTGTTTTTGAAGATCTGCAGTGTTGTTCTTGTGCCAAACATACCTTTTAGAAAAAATCTTTTCAAACTAAAACTTCTCCCATGATTTTTTATTGCCTTTTAGTTGGATTTTTTAAGTTTCCTTCTTAGTGTATCAGCAAATGTTACAAAGGCTCGGTCATTAACCACTCATTTGATTCGCCTTTTGGAGCAGAGATGCATCTAAATGTTGCATAGTGGCAGTCAAACACTGGAGCTGCAGACCCTGCTGGAGAATAATCTACACACATGCTAGTATCACCCAGCTGTCCTAAACCTCGTTGAAAATATATTTCTTAAGACAACTTTGTTGCATAATCTTCTTCTTAACTTCAAAACAGTGAGCTGAATATCAAGATGGTGTGGATTCAGAGGCAATTTGAACAGGGAGGCATTGTCACCTGAGCTTCTGGTGTCTTGTAAGTGAAATGTGGATTCACAAAGTGCTTCATCACAAAGGTTTTAAAGGTTCTTCCTCAAGTGAACTGATTTGGACAAGTTAATGCTCCAGGGCTCTCGCTATTGTCACATCACCGATTCCAACACTTAAAAGAAGATAACACCACTGAAGTTAAGGCAACATGGCCTTAATACTGACTTCAGTCTTCATGCTAAAACCTCTTAAAAATACAACCACAACTTTTCCAGTTTCAAAATGTACCAGTCATCCTGCTGTTACCTAAAAACTCCAATCATAAACTTAATATCCAGTGTTTTTCACCTACAAATGGGTGACAAACGGGGAATTACTTTTATATTTCAGCTGCAGGATTTACAAATCCTAAATGTTTTTTTTTTTAATCCTTTCCAATTCTGTTTTGTCTGTGTTTGTGTCAAATGGATACAGCAGCAAGATGAGAATGAATTGAGCTAATCAGCCTCCATTGGAAATCAATTCTGCCTTCAGTGACGGGTTTCCACCTGGATTCTTAGAAACTGCTTCAAGGTGTTTGATTGTGGTCAAGTTTTCCTGAAGTCCTGAAAACCTTTCTTGTAAATTACAAACTTTATCAAAAGCAAAGTTGACTAATTGTACTTAAAAAACTCTCATTTGTGGCTGTAAATGTCCCCACACATTTGCTACAGCATGAGATCAAGATCTGTTTTCTCTTTTTGGAAAAGGCTTGATGGAGTTTCTTGCACGGTTGCAGGTTTTTACTTGGTTGAGCACAACTCTGTGTTTTGTGATGTGGTTTTGATTTATGCTCTGGAGGGGAATATTATTGGCTTGTCTCAAGTCAGCTTTCTGACTTTGTTGGAGTCAGATCAACAGAGATGAGCTTTTGATCACAACTTTCCTGACAGCTAAATAATGAGGAGGCTTTCATTCTTGCAAAACTAATCAAAGTTTCACATTACATTGACAGTTTTTTGATTTTAAACTGAAAACTTTTTATTCTTATGTGAATTTAATTCTTTTTCCAGGTGTGTGGAGAAACTTATTTCCTGATTTAATATTTTTGCAATCTGTACTCTCTTTTTCTCACTTGGTGTTCA